ACGAAATTATCTCGTTGTTAAATTGTTCATATAATTCTATTACGGCGGCAAGGGTAAACAACCTTCTTAGTCCACCAATCCCCGCCACACACACAAATGCGCGCGCGCACACAAAGGGGACTTGAGAAAATACTAATACGAATACGAATACGAAAAGTTTATTTGTATAAAGCATAGTACAATGCTTATAACAAGTATAAATTGTAATATATACAATGTTTGGAGATCAAAACATGGATTTTTCCAGCAAACATAAGATGTTTCATGGAATATTATGTTCAATATTCAATATGATATTTAACATGTTTAATATATATGTTGCGCTTGCATGCATAAGTTTCAAATAAACAGACGCCAACCTACAATATCCTGAATAGTCTGCACTTAACTTATTCTATCATTTTCTAAAATATAAAGACATGAAGAACACTAAAGTCCTTTAGACTAAAAGTAATATTCACTGTTGCAAGTCAGTTCTTTTGAAAGATATACATGCAAACGCAAACATCTTAAACAATAAGTTATGGTTCGAATATATTTCATTTTCAAATATTACAAGAGGAGATATTATGAAATACGTTGTCTATTTGCTAAGTAAATAAATTTAGACAAAGCACAATATAGTTTTCATAGAATTAGAAGACATTAGACTACCGAATTTTATAACAAGTATCAATTGTAATATATACAATGTATGGAGATCAAAACATAGATTTTCCAGTAAACATAGGATGATTCATAGAATATTATGTTTAATATTCAATATTTAACATGTTTAATATATATGTTGCACTTGCATGCATAAGTTTCAAATAAACAGACGCCAACCTACAATATCCTGAATAGTTTGCACTTAACTTATTCTGTCATTTTCTAAAATATAAAGACATGAAGAACACTAAAGTCCTACAGACTAAACGTAATATTCACTGTTGCAAGTCAGTTCCTTTGAAAGATATACATGCAAATGCAAACATCTTAAACAGTTAATTATGGTTCGAATATATTTCATTTTCAGATATTACTAGAAGAGATACTATGAAATACGTTGTCTATTTGCTAAGTAAATAAATTTAGATAAAGCACATATAGTTTTCTTAGAATTAGAAGACATTAGGCTGTCGAATTTTATAACAGACGGCCAGTGACAATAATAAGGTTTAAAAAACCTTTTCCTCAATTCTCTATAACGTGGACAGACTAACAAAAAATGATACTCTGTTTCAGGTTGTCTCATTAAACAAGATTTACATATTCTTTCTGATCTTGGTATATTTTCATATCGACCAGATTCTACACATAAGTTATGTGATGACGTTCTAAATTTAGTAAGAGCAATTCTATGATTTTTGTCTGTAATTAAATCAAAAATACTTTTCACATTTAAAAATCATGTTTAAAAATGCTATAAGTTTGCAGGCGACCAGAATTGTTTATATCAGTATACCACTTCTGTATAAAAGTATCTATAATTCTTTGTCTGATAATGACAAAGGGAATATCTATATCAAACTGGTTAATCCATACATACGCTAAACCATGGGTTGTTAAAATGTTTTTAATACAAAAAGCCCAGTTTTTTGAGTTATATGTATTCCCAGAATCAACATCTTGCTTAAGCATTGAATAAACTTTTTTAACAATCTCTGTATCGTCAAGCTTAATAATTTTCACCCAAAACTTAATCATCTTAATTTGTCTCATCACAGAAAAAGGGTAACGGCCTTATTCACCGTATAGCGCCGAGATGTTAGTTGATTTTCGAACGCATAAAAGTCGTCTCAAAAATTTTGTATGTATTTTTTCAACATCGCGTCCGTCATGCATTCCCCAAATTTCTGATCCAAAGTTAAGGATTGAGCCGACAAGTGAATCAAAAATTTTACATTTCTGAGAAACAGACAACTCAATATTATTAAATATGGTAAAAACGTTATAAAGAGCAAATGAGGCATGTTCAGATATATATTTCTGAGTTCTATACCAGTTTCCGTTCTTTAACAAAGTGATACCTAAATATTTGAATGAATTCACCAGTTCAATAAGGGTGTCGTTAACATAAAAGTCATGGTGTGTATGTCTGCCCTTTTCAAAAATCATTGCTTTTGTTTTGTTGTTCGAAGTATTTATCTTTAATCCCCAAAGACTACAGTATCTCTCGACATCAGACATCATCGACTGTAAACTCTGCGGGGACTTAGCAAACAATACTTGGTCGTCTGCGAAAAGTATTAAGAATAGCTGAAGTTCATTAATAGAGAAAATACCTTCTAGGTCGGTATTAATATACCTTAAGATGTCGTTCACGAAGATACAAAAGCTACCATTTTTCATGTTTTATAGAAAAATCAAGTACATGTAGTTCGATTAACTACCAAATCCATCTCATAAAAACAGTATAACTTGGTGCCTATATCTTAAATTAAGGAAATAATCAGTTAAACTCATATGATTAATAAAATTCTTCCGAATTTTAATTTACATGTAGATCTATACTTTTTTATCTCCTAATAATCGATAGATTCATACATTGACCTTTTACTTTTGCCATTTATACCCAATCATTTCAAATATATACTAGATTCCGCTCAACTTTACAATGAAAAAATAATGTGAATTTAATAATTGTAATGATGATGATGATGATGATGCTGTTGATGATGTGGATGATGATCATGATGATGTAATTGATAATATAATAATAATTACAATAATGATTAAATAGTAATCATAATGATAATAATAATAATTATAATAATGATAAAATAATGACAATTATATTTATAATAATTGCATTCATGATTAAATAATAATAATAATAATGATATTTTAATAATAATAATAATAACAATGATAATAATAATAATAATAATAATAATGATAATAGTAATAATAATAATAATAATAATTATAATTTTAATTATAGGTAGATAGATAGATCCCTATTATGACATTTTATTTTAATTGATATTGATCCCTACTCTGACCTTTTATTTAAGAAAACAATAGACTTAATAATAGCCACTGACATGTATTCTTTTGTTAATTAATAGATTATGGCGAAGTTCTTATTGTTATGCACTAATTTGATAATGCAATGGAGATAGGTGATGGGACATGTCGGGCTTATGAATAGACTACTTCCATGTGTCAAAATAAAGTGTCATGAATTAACAAATTAAAATAATTACATATATCCGGTAAGCATTTTCACATGTCCTTTTGTTTCAGAAACTGCCTGTTCTATAAAACGCCAATTGCTAAGTACTTTGGCATTATATTAAAATAGTTGCGTGATATGATACATTATAAGAACGAATTTATATCTCAATCGTTTGGTAGTCAAAGTAACAAGAAGAAACAAATTTCATTCGAAAGTTAACAGAACACGGGTAAATATATATATCATTATTTGTAATTACGTTTTAACGATAAATTGAACACTGTTTTTATGTCATAAATTATTCTTGAATTGGCATTTAAATTTTAGTTTTACTTCAAAGAAAATTTCTAAATTTCTTCCTTTCGTCTTTAATTTTGTGTACTTTATCACATTGTAGTGTATTTTAACAGACAAATTTATATTACAATTCTCCGATAATCCTTTAAATAAAATAGGAATGTCATCAGTATAATAATCATTATTCGAAATATGGAGTTAGTTTTGACATTTACGTTCCAATAATTGGAAGCTGATACCATACTTAAAATTTCAGTAACAATACTGGATATACAAAGGGGATTAAAATTTACTTGTTTATCTTATAGGATTCAAGAACTGTATTGTGAAACAGAAACATGAGCAGGAGAACAGAAAAAAGCAGTTATCAAAATGTGATGTCTGCGAATACAAAACGGCAAATATAACCCACTTAATAAGGCACACGAAAATGCATACTGGTGGTCAAATAATTCAATGCGATATTTGTTTTCAACTGTTCTCACGAAACTATTTTCTTAAAACGCACATGTCAATACACACAGAAGAAAAGAATTATAAATGCGAGCAATGTGACAAAGCATTTGCAGATAAAAGTGCTAAAAGAACTCACATGATTAGTCACACAGGAGGGTAAGGAATTAAATGTGAATGTGTGACAAAGCATTTGCTCGCAATAGCCATCTGAAATCACATATGACAGTACACACAGCAGAGAAGAATTATAAATGTGAAATGTATGACAAAGCATTTTCTGAATGAAGGTACTCTTAAAACTCATATGACAGTGCAAACAGGAGAGAAGAAATTTAAATGTGAAATATGTGACAAAGCATTTGCTCATAAATTTACTCTTAAATCTCATTTAGAAGTACATTTAGGACCAAAGAAAGAGAAGAATTATGAATGTGGAATATGTGACAAAGCATTTTGCTAGCAATAGCATTCTAAAATCACACATGACAGTGCACACAGGAGAAAAGAATTATAAATGCAAAATATGTGACAAAGCATATGCTCGCAATAAACCATCTCAAATCACATATGGCAGTGCACACAGGAGAGAAGAATTATGAATGTGAAATGTGTGACAAGGCATTTGCAGATAAATATACTCTTAAAAAAAATATGACAGTACACACAGGAGAGAAGAAATTTAAATGTGAAATATGTGACAAAGCATTTGCTCAGAAATATAATCTTGAATCTCATATGGTTGTGCACACGAGAGAGAACAATTATAAATGCCAAATATGTGACAAAGCATTTGCTCATAAATTTACTTTTAAATCTCATTTAAGAAGTACATTTAGGACAGAAGAAACAGAAGAATTATAAATGTGGAATTTGTGACAAAGTATTTGCTCATAAAGTTACTTTAAAAAACTCATATAGAAGTACATTTAGATGGGAAAGAAATATAAATGTGGAATATGTGACAAAGCATTTGCAGTTAAAAGTACTCTTAAAACTCATATGACAGTACACACAGGAGAGAAAAAAATTTAAATGTGAAATATGTGACAAAGCATTTGCTCTGAAATGTACTCTTAAATGTCATATGACAGTACACACAGGAGAGAAAAATTTTAAATGTGAAATATCTGACAAAGCATTTGCTCAGAAATGTACTCTTAAATCTCATATGGTTGTGCACACGGGAGAGAAAAGTTATAAATGCCAGATATGTGACAAAGCATTTGCAAATAAAAGTTACCTTAAAAAGCATATGACAGTGCACACAGGAGAGAAGAATTATAAATGTGAAATATGTGACATAGCATTTGCTCGTACAAATACTCTTAGAGTTCATATGCTTGTGCATACGGGAGAGAAAAAATTTAAATGTGAAATATGTGACATAGCATTTGCTCAAAAGAGTATTCTTAAAACTCATATGGTTGTGCACACGGGAGAGAAGAAATTGAAATGTGAAATATGTGACAAAGCATTTGCTCGTAAAAGTATTCTTAGAATTCATATGGTTGTGCACACAGGGGAGAAGAACTTGAAATGCGAAATATGTGACAAAGCATTTGCTCGTAAAAATGATTTTAAAACTCATATGGCTGTGCACACAGGAGAGAGGAATTAAACTTTTAAATTATTTGATAAAGAACTTTCTTAAAAGGAATTTTTTTAAAGTCATAAGTCACATGAGAGAAGAATTATTAATACAAAATATCTGAGAAAAAAATTCTCATAGTAATAATCTTTAAAAAACATTGTTAATACACGCGTATCAATCATGCGAAAACCATTTCCTAATGGAATATCTCTCGTACGAATACATACAGAAGGGAAGTAACCTCAAAGTTATTTGTTTTGTCATATGAGAGAGAAGAAAAAAAGATGTGGAATGTCAGTGAAAAATCATTTTCTCTAAAAATTATATCTTGTAAAAATACAGTCAGATAGGAAAAGAGTAAATGAGATGTATGTAGCAAATCATCATCATCATCATCATCATCATCATCATCATCATCATCATCATTATCAGCAACAGAGCAGCAACAGCAACAGCAGTGGTTTTAGTAGTGGTAGTAATTATTACCTTATTATCATTATTATTCTCATCATTATTATTATTATGTTATTATATAAGCCACATAAAAAAATATTGTTGATCAAAGAAAATGTAAACTATGTAACACTCTAGAGGATGAATTCCAATACTTATTTGAATGTCCCCTATACCAAAAAATTAGACAAATGCATATCGAGGATACCTTACATACTAAAATTTAGAGAATTATTCCAATCTGAAAATATGTGGATAGTTTTTACAATGTTTGTTTTTAAAAGTTAAATAAATATACAGCGTACTGTATCAATTCTGGCTGTATCATGAAAATGATATTATATAAAATCTGTTATTATGAATAAGAATAGACGAAGTAATAGATCTGCTACATGTATACAATTCTTATATCATGTCATTCATATGTTTTGCAAGTAACAATTGTATTATTAGTGTATACTAACAGGCAGGCTACCTGTATGTAAGTAAAGTTTACCATATATTCAAGACAGGCATGCATTAATTGTTAACTCGCTGACACCATTTTAAAACTTACTGTAAGATACAAATATAAAAATACATATTATAAGTTCAAAAGCTCATAAATTGGAATATTGTTTTGCTTTATAATGTTGATTGACTATATCGTATTTGTAGATTGTTTAATTTATGGTTATTCAATTAATGTACCATTTTCTGTGGTATATTGGACTTATTATTTCATAACTATATATTTTGTATTGGTTCTAAATATTCCATAATTGTCATGTTTTATGAATTGCAAATTTGCTAATAAACGAATTAAAACAAAAAGAAACTGTTTCTTCATCATATATTTTTGTTTGATTTTATCAACAAGTATTCTATTTACAGTAAATAGGAGACAAACATTATGTCGCAATTATCTAGGTCATATCACAAGATAATAAAAATGCCATTATACATGCATGTATATCGATCACAAGGAGTGATTCGGATGTGGCATCGATCTATAAGTTTCAAAAAATGTGGGATATGAATGCAAATATTTCCACTTTCAGACATGTTTTGAAAACTGCAGCATGCCGATGCATTATATCTCGGACTTTTAAATTGACAATTAAAGACCGTAATGATATCTATTTTAAAATATGGCAAATATGAATACCATATATAATCTCATCATTATAAGACATGTTCACGAACAATATTTCTATTCCTGGAGTCCTAGTAAAGTTTCAAAAAGTAACTAACTAGCCAAGTGCTAGAGCTATCTTTGACTTCTGTTGTTTTTGGCAATTGATAAAGTAGCATTCATTTATTATTTTGTATGGAAATCAAGGAAATATTTTATCTATATTTTATTTCCTTTACGACAAACATTTATTTTTATATTCGGTGCTATTCAGTTACTATTATGAAAGTGATCCGTTGTTTTGTAGATGGTTTTCTATATCAGCTATGGAACTCATCAGCACATATGAAACTCGACTGGAATTTTGTCCAGCAATTCTTTTATATTGGGCCTTCTCTCAATAAATGTTTTAACAACGGTTTGTTTTTGTTTGAATATTAAGCATCGTTTGGTGTACACTCTGTATTTGGTGTCCGTTTGGCGACACATTCTCCATATATATTGCATATTTTGGGCACACCATAACCCATGACGGAAAGAATATCTTGATGAAAACTGCATAAAAATCCGAACAATATGGGTTAATAAATATGAAGGAATGCCTGGAAAGTAGAATCACATTTCGATTTTCCTAAAAGGAGCTTTATATTTTAAATAAATGTTTAAAATCAAATATATGTAGTACGATTTACTACCAAATCAATCTCATAAAAACAGTATAACTAGGTGCCTTTATCTTAAATTAGGGTAATTAGTGTTATAATCAGTTATAGTAGATTCCGCTCAACATGACAATGAAAAAATATTCATAGTGTGACTTTAATACTTGTAATAATAATGATGATTGTAATAATGATAATGATGATGGTGGCGGTGGTGGTGGTGGTGATGATGACAACGACGACGACAATGATGATGATGATGATGATGATAATGATGGTGGTGATGATGATAATAACAATTACAATAATGATTAAATAATAATAATAATAATGATAATAATAAAAATAATAATAATAATTATAACAATAATAATAATAATAAAAATTAAATAATAATAATTATATTAATATTGATTACATTAATTATTAAATAATAATAATAATAATAGCAATAATGATAATAATAATAATAATAACCAACATCATCATCATCATCATAGTAATTAATAATAATAATAATAATAATAATAATAATAATAATAATAATAATAATAATAATAATAATAATAATAATAATAATAATAAAAATTAAATAATAATAATAATAATAATAAAAATTAAATAATAATAATAATAATAATAATAATAATAATAGGTAGATAGATAGATCCCTAGTATAACATTTTATTTTAATTAGTATAAATCCCTATGCTTTGACCTTTTATTTAAGAAAACAATAGACTTATTTATAAGCATTGACATGTGTTATTTTATTAATAAATAGATTGTGGCAAAATTCTCATTGTAATGCACTTATTTGATAAATCAATTAAGACAAGTTAATGTGCTTGTCGGGCTTATGAATAGAATACTTCCATGTGTCACAATTAAGTGCCAGGAATTAACAAATAATAATAATAATAATAATTCTATTAATAGGAACAGAACAGTTCTGGTCTGTCCTAATAATAGGTAGATTGCTAGATGCCTAATTTAATTGGTATAGATCCCTACTCGTACCTTTTATTTAAGAAAACAATAGACTTAATTATAAGCATTGACATGTGCTCTTTTATTAATAAATAAATAGATTGTGGCGAAGTTCTCATTGTAATGCACTCATTTGATAAATCAATTAAGACAGGTTAATGTGCTTGCCGGGCTTATGAATAGAATACAATGTACTTCCATGTGTCAAAATTAAGTGTCAGGAATTAACAAATTAAAATAATTACATATATCCGGTAAGCATTTTCACATGTCCTTTTGTTTCAGTAACTGCGTGCTCTATAAAAAGCCAATTTCTAAGTACTATGACATTACATTAAAATAGATGCATGATATGATACATAATAAGAACGAATTTATATCTCAATCGTTTGTAAGTCAAAGTAACAAGAAGAAACAAACTGCATTCGAAAGTTAACAGAACACGGGTGAATATATATCATTATTTGTAATTACGTTTTAACGATAAATTGAACACTGTTTTTATGTCATAAATTATTTTGGCATTGATATTTAAATTTTAGTTTTTATCGAAAGAAAAATTTCTAAATATCTTCACTTAATATTTAACAATCTTTAATTCTGTGTACTTTATCACAATGTAGTGTATTTTAACAGACAAATTTATATTACAATTCTCCGATAATCCTTTATATGAAATAGGAACATCATCGTTATAATAATCATCATTCGAAATATGGAGCTAGTTTTGACATTTAAGTTCCAATAATTGGAAGCTGATACCATACTTAAAATTTCAGTAACAATACTGGATATACAAAGGGGATTAAAATTTACTTGTTTATCTTACAGGATTCAAGAACTGTATTGTCAAACAGAAACATGAGCAGGAGTACAGAAAAAAGCAGTTATCAAAATGTGATGTCTGCAAATACAAAACGGCAAATATAACCCACTTAATTAGGCACACGAAAATGCATACTGGTGATTAAATAATTCAATGCGATATTTGTTTTCAACTGTTTTCACGAAACTATTTTCTTAAAACGCATATGTCAATACACACAGAAGAAAAGAATTATAAATGCGAGCAATGTGACAAAGCATTTGCAGATAAAAGTGCTAAAAGAACTCACAAGATTAGTCACAAAGGAGGGTAAGGAATTAAATGTGAAATGTGTGACAAAGCATTTTCAGATAAAAGTACTCTTAAAACTCATATGACAGTGCAAATAGGAGAGAAGAAATTTAAATGTGAAATATGTGACAAAGCATTTGCTCATAAATTTACCCTTAAATCTCATTTAGAAGTACATTTAGGACCAAAGAAAGAGAAGAATTATGAATGTGGAATATGTTACAAAGCATTTGCTAGCAATAGCATTCTAAAATCACACATGACAGTGCACACAGGAGAAAAGAATTATAAATGCGAAATATGTGACAAAGCTTATGCTCGCAATAACCATCTCAAATCACATATGGCAGTGCACACAGGGGAGAAGAATTATGAATGTGAAATGTGTGACAAAGCATTTGCAGATAAATGTACTCTTAAAAAACATATGACAGTACACACAGGGGAGAAGAAATTTAAATGTGAAATATGTGACAAAGCATTTGCTCAGAAAAATAATGTTAAATCTCATATGGTTGTGCACACGGGAGAGAAGAATTATAAATGCCAAATATGTGACAAAGCATTTGCTCATAAATTTACTCTTAAATCTCATTTAGAAGTACATTTAGGACAGAAGAAACAGAAGAATTATAAATGTGGAATATGTGACAAAGTATTTGCTCATAAAGATACTTTAAAAACTCATATAGAAGTACATTTAGATGGGAAGAAATATAAATGTGGAATATGTGACAAAGCATTTGCAGTTAAAAGTACTCTTAAAACTCATATGACAGTACACACAGGAGAGAAAAAATTTAAATGTGAAATATGTGACAAAGCATTTGCTCAGAATTGTACTCTTAAATCTCATATGGTTGTGCACACGGGAGAGAAAAGTTATAAATGCCAGATATGTGACAAAGCATTTGCAAGAAAAAGTAACCTCAAAAGTCATGTGACAGTGCACATGGGAGAGAAGAATTATAAATGTGAAATATGTGACGAAGCATTTCGTTGCAATAGACATCTAAAAAGTCATATGGCAGTACACACGGGAGGGAAGAATTATGAATGTAAAATATGTGAGAAAGCATTTGCTTGCAATAGTCATCTGAAAATTCATATGACAGTGCACACAGGAGAGAAGAAATATAAATGCGAAATATGTAACAAAGCCTTTTCTATTAAAAGCAATCTAAAAACTCATATGACAGTGCATACGGGACAAAAAAAATATAAATGCGAAATATGTGACAAAGTATTTGCTCATAAAAGTACTTTAAAAACTCATATAGAAGAAGTACATTCAGGAGAGAAGAATTATCAATGTGAAATATGTGACAATGCATTTGCAGGTAAAAGATACCTTAAAAAGCATATGACAGTACACACAGGAGAGAAGAATTATAAATGTGACATATGTGACAAAGCATTTGCTCGTAAATATACTCTCAGAATTCACATGGTTGTGCATACGGGAGAGAAGAAATTTAAATGTGAAATATGTGACACAGCATTTGCTCAAAAGAGTACTCTTCAAACTCATATGGTTGTGCACACGAGAGAGAAGAACTTTAAATGAGAAATATGTGACAAAGCATTTGCTTGTAAAAATGATTTTGAAACTCATAATGCAGTGCACACAGATATGAGGAATTTAAGTTGTCAATTATTTGATAAGGGAATTTCTTGAAAGGATTTTTTTAAAGTCATAAGTCACATGAGAGAAGAATTATTAATACAAAATATCTGAGAAAAAAATTCTCAAAGTAATAATCTTTAAAAAACATTGTTAATACACGCGTATCAATCATGCGATAACCATTTCCTAATGGAATATCTCTCGTACGAACACATACAAAAGGGAAGTAACCTCAATGTTATTTTTTTTTTCACATGAGAGAGAAGAAGAAAGGATGTGGAATGTCAGTGATAAATCATTTTCTCTACAAATTATATCTTGTAAAAATACAGTCAGGACAGCAAAAGTATAAATGAGATGTATGTAGCAAATCATCATCATCACCATCATCATCATCATCATCATCATGATCATCACCATCATCATCATCATTATTATCATCATCATCATCATCATCATCATTATCAGCAACAGAGCAGCAACAGCAACAGCAATGGTGTTAGTAGTGGTATTTATTATTACTTTATTATTATTATTATTCTCATTATTATTATTATTATTATTTAATTATATAAGCCACATAAAAATATATTATTTGATCAAAGAAAATGTAAGCTATGTAACACTCTAGAGGGTGAATTCCAATACTTATTTGAATGTCCCCTGTACCAAAAAATTAGACAAATGCATATCGAGGATACCTAACATACTAAAATTTAGAGAATTATTTCAATCTGAAAATATGTGGATAGTTTTAACAATGTTTGTTTTCAAAAGTTAAACAAAGTATACAGCGTACTGTATCAATTCTGGCTGTATCATGAAAATGATATGATATAAAATATGTTATTATGAATAAGAATAGACGAAGTAATAGATCTGTTACATGTATACAATTCTTATATCATGTCATTGATATGTTTTGCAAGTAACACTTGTATTATTATTGTATACTAACAGGTATAAGTAAAATTTACTGCCTTTATATAAACAAAGTTTACCATATATTCAAGGTAGGCATGCATTAATTGTTAACTCGCTGACACCATTTTAAAACTTACTGTAAGATACAAATATAAAAATACATATTATAAGTTCAAAAGCTCATAAATTGGAATATTGTTTTGCTTAATAATGTTGATTGACTATATCGTATTTGTAGATTGTTTAATTTATGGTTATTCAATTAATGTACCATTTTCTGTGGTATATTGGACTTATTATTTCATAACTATATATTTTGTATTGTTCCTAAATATTCCATAATTGTCATGTTTTATGAATTGCAAATTTGCTAATAAACGAATTAAAACAAAGAGAAACTGTTTCTTCATCATATATTTCTGTTTGATTTTATCAACAAGTATTCTATTTACAGTAAATAGGAGACAAACATTATGTCGCAATAATCTAGGCAATATCCAAAGATAATAAAGATGCCATTATACATGTATATATATATATATATTGATTACAAGAAGTGATTCGGATGAGGCATCTATCTATAAGTTTCCAAAAGTTTGGGATAAGAATGCAAATATTTCCACTTTCAGACATGTTTTGCAAACTGTAGCATGCCGATGCATTATATCTCGGACTTTTAAATTGACAATTAAAGACCGTAATGATATCTATTTTAAAATATGGCAACTATGAATACAATATATAATCTCATCATTATAAGACATGTTCACGAACAATATTTTTATTCCTGGAGACCTAGTAAAGTTTCAAAAAGAACTAACTAGCCAAGTGCTAGAGCTATCTTTGACTTCTGTTGCTTTTTGGCAATTGGTAAAGTAGCATTCATGTATTGTTTTGTATGGAAATCAAGGTAATATTTTATCTATATTTTATTACCTTTACAACAAACATTTATTTTTATATTCGGCGCTGAAAAGCACGTGGCAAAACATACATGCTATTCAGTTACTATTATGAAAGTGATCCGTTGTTTTGTAGATGGTTTCCTATATCAGCTATGGATCTCTAAAGCACATATGAAACTAGACTGGAATTTTGTATACAATGCATTGACTGCAATGTGTTTGAATTATAATAATCTATTCAAAATTAATATTAAAAACTGTTAGATAAAGATCAAAGCGTTAACTTTCAAATATTAGAATTTGTTAAATAAAAATCAGAGGGTGAACATTCTTAAATCTTAATATCTTAATCAACATTAATTATTCAAAATGTCAATAATGTTGGTTATTATATTATCAATCAACGGTCTATTCAAATTAGTAACAAAAGTATGGGGTCATGTCCACTCTATAAAATTAATATCTGGGGTTTTGTCCACTCTATAAAATTTATGTGTGGGGTTTTGTCCACTCTATAAAATTTTGAGGTGTGCGTTTTGACGTATGGTGTTTTTTCCGTCTTCCGGTACTACTATGTGTTATTTCTTCTCATGACAAATTTAAGGACACATGGCAGATTTCACATGTGTACAGCCAAGGACTGACTATCGATTCACGAAATTATCTCGTTGTTAAATTGTTCATATAATTCTATTACGGCGGCAAGGGTAAAAAACCTTCTTAGTCCACCAATCCCCGCCACACACACAAACGCGCGCGCGCACAAAGGGGACTTGAGAAAATACTAATACAAAAGCTACCATTTTTCATGTTTTATAGAAAAATCAAGAATATGTAGTACGATTAACTACCAAATCCATCTCATAAAAACAGTATAACTTGGTGCCTATATCTTAAATTAAGGAAATAATCAGTTAAACTCATATGATTAATAAAATTCTTCCGAATTTTAATTTACGTGTAGATCTATACTTTTTTTATCTCCTAATAATCGATAGATTCATACATTGACCTTTTACTTTTGCCATTTATACCCAATCATTTCAAATATATAGTAGATTCCGCTCAACTTTACAAGGAAAAAATAATCATAATGTGAATTTAATAATTGTAATGATGATGATGATGATGATGCTGTTGATGATGTGGATGATGATCATGAATGATGTAATTGATAATATAATAATAATTACAATAATGATTAAATAGTAATCATAATGATAATAATAATAATTATAATAATGATAAAAATGATGACAATTATATTTATAATAATTGCATTCATGATTAAATAATAATAATAATAATAATAATAATAATAATAATAATAAATATAATAATAATAATAATAATAATGATAATGATAATAATAATAATAGTAATAATAATAATAATAATAATGATAATAGTAATAATTATAATAATAATAATTATAATTTTAATTATAGGTAGATAGATAGATCCCTATTATGACATTTTATTTTAATTGATATTGATCCATACTCTGACCTTTTATTTAAGAAAACAATAGACTTAATAATAGCCACTGACATGTATTCTTTTGTTAATTAATAGATTATGGCGAAGTTCTTATTGTTATGCACTAATTTGATAATGCAATGGAGATAGGTGATGGGACATGTCGGGCTTATGAATAGACTACTTCCATGTGTCAAAATAAAGTGTCATGAATTAACAAATTAAAATAATTACATATATCCGGTAAGCATTTTCACATGTCCTTTTGTTTCAGAAACTGCCTGTTCTATAAAACGCCAATTGCTAAGTACTTTGGCATTATATTAAAATAGTTGCGTGATATGATACACAATAAGAACGAATTTATATCTCAATTGTTTGTGAGTCAAAGTAACAAGAAGAAACAAATTTCATTCTAAAGTTAACAGAACACGGGTAAATATAAATATCATTATTTGTAAGTACGTTTTAACGATAAATTGAACACTGTTTTTAAGTCATAAATTATTTTGCATTGATATCTAAATTTAACTTTTTCTCCAAAGAAACAAAATCTTAATTTATTCACTTAACAGTCTTTGTACTTTATCACAATGTAGTGTATTTTAACAGACAAATTTATAGTACAATTCTCCGATAATCCTTTAAATAAAATAGGAATGTCATCAGTATAATAATCATCATTCGAAATTTGGAGCTAGTTTTGACAATTAAGTTCCAATAATTGAAAGCTGGTACCAACCTTAAAATTTCAGTAACAATACTGGAAATACAAAGGGGATTAAAATTTACTTGTTTATCTTATAGGACTCAAGAACTGTATTGTCAAACAGAAACATGAACTGCAGTACAGAACAAAAGCATTTATTAAAATATGATGTCTGCGAATACAAAACTGCAAACAAAACCCACTTAATTAGGCACACGAAAATGCATACTGGTGGTAAAATAATTCAATGCGATATTTGTTATCAACTGTTCTCAAAAAAATTTTTTCTTAAAATGCATATGGCAATACACACAGGAGAGAAGAATTATAAATGCGAGCAATGTGACAAAGCATTTGCTCGCAATGGCTATCTAAAATCACATATGACAGTACACACAGGAAAGAAAAAATATCAATGTGAAATATATGACAAAGCATTTTCACAAAAGAGTAATCTTAAAACTCATATAAAAGTGCATTCAGGAGAGAAGAAATATAAATGTGAAATATGTGACAAAGCATTTGCAGATAAAAATTACCTTAAAAGGCATATAACAGTACACACAGGAGAAAAGAAATTTAAATGTGAAATATGTGACAAAGCATTTGCTCACAATGGCAGTTTGAAATCACATATGACAATACACACATTAGAGAAAAATAATAAATGTGAAATTTGTGGCAAAGCATTTGCAGTTAAAAGTTATCTAATAAATCATATGACAGTAGAAAAGAATTATAAATGTGAAATATGTGACAGAGCATTTGCTCGCAAGGGCGATCTGAAATCACATATGGCAGTACACACAGGTGAGAAGAATTATGAATGTGAAATATGTGACAGAGCATTTGCTCGCAAAGCCGATCTGAAATCACATATGGTAGTACACACAGGAGAGAAGAATTATCAATGTGAAATATGTGAGAAAGCATTTGCACAAAAGAGTAATCTGACAGCTCATATAAAAGTACATTCAGGAGAGAAGAAATATAAATGCGAAATATGTGACAAAGTGTTTGCTTATAAATGTACTCTAAAATCTCATATAGAAGCACATTCTGGACAGAAGAATTATATATGTGGAATATGTGAAAAAGCATTTGCAAATAAAAGCCATCTGAAATTTCATATGGCAGTACACACAGGAGAAAAGAATTATGAATGTGAAATATGTGACAAAGCATTTGCTCGCAATGACTATCTGAAAACACATATGACAGTACACACAGGAGAGAAGAATTATCAATGTGAAATATGTGACAAAGCATTTTCAACACAGAGTAATCTAAAAGCTCATATAAAAGTACATTCAGGAGAGAAGAAATATAAATTCGAAATATGTGACAAAACATTTGCTCATAAATGAACTCTAAAATCTCATAAAGAAATACATTTAGGACAGAAGAAACAGAAGAATTATAAATGTGGAATGTGTGACAAAGTATTTGCAAATAAAAGAGAACTTAAAACGCATATGACAGTACACACATGAGAAAAGAGTTATAAATGTGAAATAAGTTAAGTTTGATAAGTTTTAAAAAAAAACTTAACTTATTTCACATCTATAATTATAAATGTGAAATATATGATAAAGCATATGCTCGCAATAGCAGTCTGAAATCACATACGGCAGTACACACAACAGACAGGAATTATAACTTTGAAATATGTGACAAAACGTTTTCTCATAAAAGCAGTCTAAAAACTCACAGTGCACACAGGAGAGAAGAAATTTAAATATGAAATATGTGACAAAGCATTTGCTCAAATGAGTACTCTTAAAACTCATATGGTTGTGCAAACGGGAAAGAAGAAATTTAAATGTGAAATATGTGACAAAGCATTTGCTCATAAAGTTACCTTAAAGACTCATATGCACACAGGAGAGAGGAATTAAAGTTGTAAATTATTTGATAAAGAACTTTCTCAAAATGGATTTTTTAAAACTCTTATGACAGTGCTCACATTTGAGAAGAATTATAAATACAAAATATGTGAGAAAAACATTTTCTAAAAGTTATAGAACATTTGTTTATACACGCGTATCAATCATACTAAAGCCATAAAAATATTATTTGATTAAATAGAATGTAAACTATGTAACACTCTAGAGGATGAATTTCAATACTTATTTGAATGTCCCCTGTACCAAGAAATTAGACAAATACATATTGAGGAGACCTAACATACTAAAATTTAGAGAATTATTTGAATCTGTAAATGTGTGGTTAGTTAAAATTTAAGCAATGTGTGCTGTCAAAAGTTTAAATAAGATATACAGCGTACTGTATCAACTCTCATAATTATATTATATTAGATCTTTTATTATGAATAAGAATCGAATGAGTAATAGATCTGCTACATGTATACAATTCTTATATCATGTCATTGATATGTTTTGCAAGTAACAATTGTATTATTATTGTATAATAACAGGCAGACTGCCTTTATATAAATAAAATTTACCATATATCCTAGACAGGCATGCATTAATTATTAACTCGCTGACACAATTTTGAAACTTACTGTAAGATACAAACATAAAAATACATATTATAACAAGTTTAACAAGTTTATTTATCTTTTCCCAGAAGGTCATAGACCCATGTGGTACAATATGCAAAACATATAATATGGCAAACGTGTAAAACTGACATGATCTCATACATGCATTACAATAGCACATTTTACATAGGAAATGAAAACATACACAATGTATTTACCTATTAAATGATTTACATGCTTATAGTAATTCACATTTTCGTCGTATGTGTCAAAAATATATATGTAACATAAGTTTTACGTGTGACAAAAATCAAATTGTACTGACTTTACAATTACAATTACTTTACAATATTAGATTGGATCTATCACTAGTAAAGAAGATAATTTGACAGATTAAAATCTTTCTCAATTGAATATTGAATTAAATCAGGTTGATAACGAAAGTGTGAATTTTACATACATTTTTACATACTGCATATACACCATTGTTGTCATTAATAATGTGTAAAGCATTTATTGTGCACGGGAGATAATTGCTGTGGTCTTATCGCTAGACCTGTACATCGAGTTATGTAACATCCACCGCACTATAGCTTTAACAATATATTGATATACCATATAATTTCTTAGCATAATTTACTGCAGTTATCTGATAAAATGAAACAAATTTGTATATGAATATATATTGTCCAGACATTTTTTAAGACTACTTTGTATGAAGAAAAGATTGAAAAACATAAGGGGGATAATCTTGTCAAAAGCGAAATACAAGATTAGTCACCCGGTAAGTTGCTCTTTAGTCTTAAGATATGTAGTTCTCCGCGTTACATCGTATAGACGGAGAACTGTTGTCTCAACAGGTGCGATATCAAAACTGGTATAACCAGTTTGGTCACGTGATAAGAGTTATTGACCGTGCGTACGTACGATTAGTGGTCAGTTCTACAGAGACTCTCGCTTGGTACACGTCGTTAACTACATTGGGAAGTTTTTATCATGGATCGAGATACTCACGACATTATCAAGGAAGCGTTGTAAAGGACACCGTGGAGGAAGCAGGCCAGTCTTTACTTCAAGAAATTGGGACGATGTTCGAAAAGATAAGTGAAACAAAATAATTCTTCTCAATTTGCTAAGAATAAGCAATTTAAGTGGCATCATCTCAGCCAAAATTTAAAAGGAAAAGCAACGAAGAACAGTTTGTCATAATAGTAAATTTATGTTGAAGCTTAATGAAGCCGAGTCTAAGTTAGATAGCAGTAAAAAATTGAGGAGGCCAAAAGCAGTATTACAACAGGTTTGTGTTTAAAAAACAAAACAAAAACTTAATGAATTCTACTCTATTCCATTTAATAAGAAGCATTTTTCAATTTGCAAAAGCTTGGTTTTTATTCAGCAGTTTTAAATTCGGGATACAATTAATAAATTCGCTATTTTCTAATAGTTTTTACGTGTTTTAATGTGTAGACCACGTGGTCTCGATACACGTGTCTTTTGTTATACTAAGGGTTGAATTGTTCTGTATGAAGATTGTTGGGAATATGTTTATTGCTAAAGGAATAGTAATGCCTAATAATAAGAATGATAATAAATATAAAAATTATATGTCTATTATATTTAAAAAAAAAAAAAAAAAATCTTTGTTTCTTCTGTTTCAAATTTATTTAGATTAATGTCTTTTTGGACATAAGTACATAAGGACGTAAAAAAAAAAAAAAAGATAAAGATTTTATAAGCTGATGTGATCAATATAGATGTTTTTTGCATGGTTAGCAATGACTAATGTGGACTCGCCTTTTCTTTAACATGTATAAATAGGGGATTCATGTTTTATAGTATTACTGATATAGTTACATTATAAACTTGCATACGCATGTCACAGATTTAAAACCCGTTGCGTTGGTAATGCGCAGGCCGATATGAATAAGTTAGAGTAGTATCATTTATAAATAAATTAAAGTGATACTATAAATGGCGGTAGCACGGGGTTTTGCATGGGTTACTGATTGAGATATTTTTAAAGTATAGCAAACACAGGAAAACTACGAATGACGGTAATATATTAGTATTTGTTAGATACGGCTTTTCTTTTATTTTCAAAGTTTGTAAGAAAATTATGTATTATATCAATGTGATTTTCAGTTACAAGGATTAATATCACAGGAGTTGATTATATTGACTCATAAAGATTAATATTATTTATAGAAATTATGTTAAATATTTTTAGTAATAGGCAATTTTTTCTTTCAGCCTTGGATTTTTGTCACACCGAACAAAAGATGATACAGTTGGCGATGCTAGTGAATTGGGGTGGAGAGTAGTTTCATGAGTATGAACAAAATCCTCTAAGGCTAGACGACAGCGATGATGAAAAGAAAATGTATAAAGCTGAAGTCAAGGGCTGACAGGAAGTTTCAAAGCTGAGAAAAAAGAGAAGTCATAAAAAAGTTTAGAACCAGCCTTACACCAAGGAGTGTACCTTGCACGGGAGCTACACAGTCATCCAACTTCGCAGCAATTTGGGTGTACAGGGAAACCAGGCTTATTGTTTTTACTGTGGAAAGCCGGGGTCACATGGGAGGAAAAGAATGTCCAGCAAATACTACAAATTTGAATAATAAGATGAGTACATTTTTGTTTATTTAATAAACATTGCGATATGCTAGACAGTTTAATTCATTGGAATCACAAATTAATAACAGGGAACAAATAAATAATGAGGCAATTAGTTGCGAATTCGAACAAAATGATTCAGAAAATTGAAATCGTTGTATTTCCTAAAAAATGTTTAAAATCTTAAATGTTTCTTCTGTGAATCAAAGGATATTGTTTTCTTCAGCTGAACAGTGAATGCTCAGTAATCAAGTTAGGGCAGAGCATTTTGGGGTCTAAAAAAGTAAAACTTAAATTTGTGTAATATCGCCTTTTTTTAGTTTTTTATTTTTTTTTTTATATTTTTTTTTTAGTTGATTTTTTATTAAATTTTATTTTTTTTTTTGTTTTTTTTTTTTTTTAAAAATTATTATTTAAAAGGAAGATGAAGCTCATGCTAGCAAATTGGCGATCTATCAATGGCGATTTCTTTTCATTTAGACGTTATAAAGAAATGGTCAAATGCGCCATTTGAAATATTCCTAGTAAAGTAATGCCTTAAAAATAATAAGTCGCTAGAGAGCAATCCGTCTTTTTTTGTTAACGACGGGGAAATAGAGGTGGTTTAACGTAGAAAAACATGTTTATTTCGGTAGTAGATCACGTGCCTTGAAGTGTAAATTCCGTTGGACTGTGGCTTTTATAATAAGGCCGGAAAAGCAAGGTTGGTTTTAGATTGTAGGCATGTAAATCCAGTTTTTGCATCTATTCAAAATCAATTTGGAAGATTGTTCGTGTCGCTCAGTCTCTATTTAAGTGCTGGGGTTTTTGCTTTTACTTTTGATTTGAAAGGAGCTTATCATCACATCGATATTTTTCAAGCTCATAGGAAATATTTAGGTTTTTCATGGATCTATGAATTGGTCAACAGACTTATTTTGTGTGTTTAAATTCACTTTCCATTTTGGAATAGCTAGCGCAGGGCATATTTTTTTCTAAACTGTCCGATATTGGTCATGGTACTTAAGGTCATTAGGTCATAAAGTTGATAATGTTACTTTTGACGATGGCATCGGTGGTCATATTATTTCCGAGAAGCATTAAGAAAGTAAGTGCATTTGTAAAAAGTACATTGATTTTGAATTTGGTTTTTGTTGGCGGAAGAAAAGTGTCCATGGTTTCCCTGTCAAAAGTAAACATGGTTTAGGTTTTATATTAGATTTTTTTTCAGAATAAGATATTTGTTACAGAAGAACGAATTTCTATCATAGGAAAAATCAATCGAGTCTTCTATATCAGAATTAAGTGTGACAAAGTGTAGTGTTCTAGCCCAGTCCGTGTGTTAGCGTCTTTGGTTGGACGTTCTGATTTCTCTTCCAATTTGTCTTTGGTAAACATAGTGAGATTGAGAAACGAGAGAGATGTATAAATGTTTATATCCTCTAGGGTAGTTGGGACTCGCCCATTTTTAGTGAGCGAATCAGCCATTACATGAAATTATGTTACTGGAAAGACAAATGTAAGAAACATTGAATTGGGGATTCAGGTAAATACATTCTGAAATGAATAATGGTACGATATCACGTATTTTGGGACTGCCAGTGGATCTGGTTAATGGTGTTATCTATATTTTCCCGAGCAATGAAGCTCCATTACATTCTAATATTCAAATGAAGTGGAACATTGTTATCCCGAAGTGGATTTCATGTCGAAATGTTATTTGAAATCCCGATTTCTTCAGCTTTTTCCCCGGAAGGGGAAAAATGTATGCTAGTATAATACAAAGAAAAAGTATATAGATATAGATACGAAAGTCAACCGGAAGTTGGCTTTTTGAAGAACAGATTATAAAGTTCTTCTTGGCGTGAGGTGAGGCAGTGAATAGGGTTGTTAGCAGTCAAGCACAATTTCTCAAAACAAAATGTGAAAGGTTTTTTTTCTGATAATCAAAATGTAAAATCGATTCTTTTGAACGGCAGTGGTTACGGCATAGCTTCAAAAAATTGCTTTAGGTTTCATGATTTTTGTGAAGAAAATAATATCCATATTAGCCCGGAATGGATACCCGAGAAATAATTCAGATATCAGATTATTTGAGTAGATGTCTGATTCTGATGATTGGTCAAATCAGATCGTTGGTTCAGATATTTTGATTGTATTTGGGGAATACACACAATAGATAGGTTTTCCTACTCATTATACAACCAATTGTGAAAGGTTTAACTCTAAGTGGTGGGTCCAGGAACGGAAGCTATAAATGCTTTTGGATCAGTCCTGGAAAAATGATATTTAATTGGTTAGTTTTCCGGGCCGCCTCGGCTAATAGTAGAGTGTATAAACAATTGTCAACGAAATTGCAAGTTGCACATAATTATACCAAAGTGGAAATTTCACTTTTGGCCATGCTTGTTTGATAAAAATGTATTTTAAAACCCTTACATAAGAAGATGTAGAGGTTTTAACCAAAAAATGGAATAATACGTACTGGTAAGGTATAATGGCGTGTTTGCAACAACACCATTGCCGTTTGTATGCTGGCATCAAGATCAGGTTTTAGTTTGGAGTGCCATAAGATATAATTTTTAATGAGACATTACTGTAATTCTATTTTACAATATTTTTATGAAGTTTATAATATTTGCCCTTTTCGAATTATAGGTGTTGACTTTAAAACCTTCAATCAGGAGCCAATGATGACAACGCAGGAGTGGACATTCAAAAACATCAAAACTGTTATTGATCCATGGCAGGTTATATTTTGTACAATCCGGGCAGTTTCTATAGACAGAAATATATGAACTATTTCAAACATTTCGGAAAAATATTGGTGGTCCAAAATGGTTTTGGTTTTCCAAGCCAGCTTCATATCTATGTTGTAGCAAGTATTAACAAACATGTTAGATCACGGAAAGTCCGTACGGTGGTTATTTTTCTACGTATATTCCTATTAAATGGAATGCATTCTTTGCTGATTATGTGGATCCTACTACGAAATTCCATGGTTAAACATTTATTTGAAACAAGTAAAACGAGAATCTATGAACCTGTTAAAAGAAAGATACAATAGATTCGGAAATGTGTTACAACATTATGTGATAATTTTTCAGATTCCAGCGACGTGGTAACCTAAGAGATCTGTCAATTATTCTTTTAGGTTCGCTGGTTTTATACGTTTCAACGAACTGAAATTCTTTTAATTTGTTATAGATTAACAATTCAATGATGTCACTATAGTGTTAAACATTCCTAAGAGGCACTGATGTGTATAGGCAAGGAAAATCTGTTCGATTTGTAAGGGTACTACTAAATGCATGTCTTTGAATAATGCTTAAAAAATATATGAGGGCAGCTTGTCTTGACGTAACCTGTAATGAATTTTTGTTTAGAGCCAGTCAGTTTAGCGTGTCAGTTCAACAGGGGGTATCTGCGGAGACTATATATATATAAGTAAAAGAGGTGATACTGTATCACACAGAGTCTATGGCGATGAACGCTGTTCGGAGACTCAAAGTCGTGAAGATGTTAGTGAGCGAATCGCACTCTCTCTCACGTTTTATATATATCACTCTTCTCTGACGTCAGAGGACTAGTGAGTTCAGTGGCGCGATAACTCAGGGTGGGTCTCTGATAGATGTTTAGAGACAGGGCCTGTTAGAAATCTGGGAGAGTGAAGGGACGGTTATTATTGTTGATTCATGAGAGCCCGTGACACACCTTCATACACAGTCCGTATTGTGACATACAAAAGTTAGTTATATGATTATGGCCTTATAGACTATTTTTTATAACGATAGTGAATTTAATCATGTATAAATCTGCATCGTCATGCTAGTAGTTCTATAAGCGTGCTTCGACCAGAGACAATGAATGTGCGTGTTGATTTTGAGATGCTGCCTTTTAGAACCCATAGTAGTTCTGCCAAGACATATCGTATACTACAGATGAGTATAAAAAGTTGAGTCAATAACATTTGTGCGTCGCAAAGAGTGATGATCGTTATATATGCAAAATTTTTATTTGCTTTTATTTGGTTTAATTAAGAGGCATGTCTGAACTGTTTTCCGTTGTTCAGTATTTCTAGGAATAGTCGGGGCATTTCAATGTTAACGCATTGACTAGGCTACGGAAACACGTTTCCTCCTGTTTTTAAAAATTAATGAAAAGAAAAGATAGGGGTTTTTCGTGGGCGGCCCGTATTCTGATGAAGAAATATACGTTTGAATTTTCGATTTCCGTTCATGATTTAAAACATTCTGGCTTTGCTTTAGAGGTTTTATCAGATTTATTAACATGACGCAAATCGCATTTTCGATTGTAGCATGCTTATATTTATCTAATAGAATACACATGATTAATGAGTGATTAATTCTTGAGTTATAGAATTATATTGTAATAGAAAAGTATTATTGTAATAACGAATGTTTACTCCTCAGTTGTGTACCAATAAATACGTGTCTCGCCTTGCAGTTGTTGTTGTTGTTGTTTTGGATAGTGCCTGTTGAGACGTATGTTTACTTATGTGTTTCCTCATTCCCAGATCTTGCCATTAATGACAAGATTTGAGAAGGAACAATTAGATAACAGCAGTTTCACTTGTAAAATTTACATTGAGCTATGGAACTATATTATATAGGATGAAACACACATTTATATGACTGACATAGAAGAAATATTACATATTCATATAACTATCCTATATTGACCAACATGTCAATTCGAACAATAATAATAAGAGAAACATACGATGTAGTACTATAAGTCTAGTTTAACAAAAGTATAGACAGATATGAAATCATTAAACATACTAATCAGCTCCATATAAAGTATCTGAGCGCATCACGAATGCTTTTGAAAAATATATACTCAGTTTTCTAATTGATTTTCAGTATTCATTAATTCTATAAATTTAAACATATTTGGAGATCTCCAGTAACAAATTGGTATATATTGTGTTCTTAATTGGGAGTACATTCTACATTATAATACAAAATGGAATTCATCTTCTAACACATTGCATTATAAGCTCGAAAGCTCATATAGTGGAATATTGTTTTGCTAAATAATTGTGATTAACTACATCGCATTTGTAAATTGTGTAATTTATAGTTATTCAATTAGAGTACCATTTTCTGTAGTATATTGGACTAGTTATTTCATAACTATATATTTTTTATTGTTCCTAGATATTCAACAATTGTCATGTTTTATGAATTGCAAAATTTGCTAATAAACGAATTATAACAAGAAACTGTTTCTTCATCATATATTTCTATTTGATTTCATCAACAAGTATTTCATTTACAGTAAATAGGGGACAAACATTATGTCGCAATTATCTAGGTCATATCACAAGATAATAAAAATGCCATTATACATGCATATTTATCGATCACAAGAAGTGATTCGGATGTGGCATCAATCTATAAGTTTCCAAAAATTTGGGATATGAATGCAAATATTTCCACTTTCAGATATGTTTTGAAAACTGCAGCATGCCGATGCATTATATCTCGGACTTTTAAATTGACACTTAAAGACCGTAATGATGTCTATTTTAAAATATGGCAAATATGCATGCCATATATAATCTTATCATTATAAGACATGTTCACGAATAATATTTTTATTCCTGGAGTCCTAGTAAAGTTTCAAAAAGTAACTAACTAGCTAAGTGCTAGAGCTATCTTTGACTTCTGTTGTTTTTTGGCAATTGATAAAGTAGCATTCATTTATTATTTTGTATGGAAATTAAGGAAATATTTTATCTATATTTTATTTCCTTTACGACAAACATTTATTTTTATATTCGGTGCTATTCAGTTACTATTATGAAAGTGATCCGTTGTTTTGTAGATGGTTTTCTATATCAGCTATGGAACTCGTCAGCACATATGAAACTCGACTGGAATTTTGTCCAGCAATTGTTTTATATTGGGCCTTCTCTCAATAAATGTTTTAACAACGGTTTGTTTTTGTTTGAATATTAAGCATCGTTTGGTGTACACTCTGTATTTGGTGTCCGTTTGGCGACACATTCTCCATATATATTGCATATTTTGGGCACACCATAACCCATGACGGAAAGAATATCTTGATGAAAACTGCATAAAAATCCGAACAATATCGGGTTAATAAATATGAAGGAATGCCTGGAAAGTAGAATCACATTTCGATTTTCCTAAAAGGAGCTTTATATTTTAAATAAATGTTTAAAATCAAATATATGTAGTACGATTTACTACCAAATCAATCTCATAAAAACAGTATAACTAGGTGCCTTTATCTTAAATTAGGGTAATTAGTGTTATAATCAGTTATAGTAGATTCCGCTCAACATGACTATGAAAAAATATTCATAGTGTGACTTTAATACTTGTAATAATAATGATGATAATAATAATGATGATGATGGGGGTGGTGATGATGACAACGACGACGACAATGATGATGATGATGATGATGATAATGATGGTGGTGATGATGATAATAAAAATTACAATAATGATTAAATAAATAATAATAATAATAATAATAATAATAATAATAATAATAATGATGATAATAATAATAATAATAATAATAATGCTAATAATAATAAAAATTAAATAATTATAATTATATTAATATTAAATACATTAATTATTAAATAATAATAATAATAATAGCAATAATGATAATAATAATAATAATAACCAACATCATCATCATCATCATAGTTATTATAATGATAATAATAATAATAATAATAATAATAATAATAATAATGATAATAATAATAAAAATTAATAATAATAATAATAAATAATAAAAAAATTAAATAATAATAATAATAAAAATTAAATAATAATAATAATAATAATAATAATAATAGGTAGATAGATAGATCCCTAGTATAACATTTTATTTTAATTAGTATAAATCCCTATGCTTTGACCTTTTATTTAAGAAAACAATAGACTTATTTATAAGCATTGACATGTGTTATTTTATTAATAAATAGATTGTGGCAAAATTCTCATTGTAATGCACTTATTTGATAAATCAATTAAGACAAGTTAATGTGCTTGTCGGGTTGATGAATAGAATACTTCCATGTGTCACAATTAAGCGTCAGGAATTAACAAATTAAAATAATTATATATAATAATAATAATAATAATTAATAATTCTATTAATAGGAACAGAACAGTTCTGGTCTGTCCTAATAATAGGTAGATAGCTAGATGCCTAGTACAACATTTTAATTTAATTGGTATAGATCAGTACTCGTACCTTTTATTTAAGAAAACAATAGAATTAATCATAAGCATTGACATGTGCTCTTTTATTAATAAATAGATTGTGGCGACGTTCTCATTGTAATGCACTCATTTGATAAATCAATTAAGACAGGTTAATGTGCTTGCCGGGCTTATGAATAGAATACTTCCATGTGTCAAAATTAAAGTGTCAGGAATTAACCAAATTAAAATAATTACATATATCCGGTAAGCATTTTCACATGTCCTTTTGTTTCAGTAACTGCGTGCTCTATAAAAAGCCAATTTCTAAGTACTATGACATTACAATTAAAAATAGATGCATGATATGATACATTTATAGAACGAATTTATATCTCAACCCGTTTTTAAGTCAAAGTAACAAGAAGAACAAACTGCATTCGAAAGTTAACAGAACACGGGTGAATATATATCATTATTTGTAATTACGTTTTAAAACGATAAATTGAACACTGTTTTTATGTTCAAAATTATTTTGGCATTGATATTTAAATTTTAGTTTTTATCGAAAGAAAAAATTTCTAAATATCTTACTTAATTATTTAAAACAATCTTTAATTCTGTGTACTTTATCACAATGTAGTGTATGTTTAACAGACAAATTTATATTACAATTCTCCGATAATCCTTTATATGAAATAGGAACATCATCGTTATAATAATATCATTCGAAAATATGGAGCTAGTTTTTTGACATTTAAGTTCCAATAATTGGAAAAGCTGATACCATACTTAAATTTCAGTAACAATACTGGATATACAAGGGGTATTAAAAATTTACTTGTTTATCTTACAGGATTCAAGAAACTGTATTGTCAAACAGAAACATGAGCAGGAGTACAGAAAAAAGCAGTTATCAAAATGTGATGTCTGCAAAATACAAACGGCAAATATAACCCACTTAATTAGGCAACACGAAAATGCATACTGGTGAATTAAATAATTCAATGCGATATTTGTTTTCAACTGTTTTCACGAAACTATTTTCTTAAAACGCATATGTCAATACACACAGAAGAAAAGAATTATAAATGCGAGCAATGTTACAAAGCATTTGCAGATAAAAGTGCTAAAAGAACTCACAAGATTAGTCACAAAGGAGGTAAGGAATTAAATGTGAAATGTGTGACAAAAGCATTTTCAGATAAAAAGTACTCTTAAAACTCATATGACAGTGCAAATAGGAGAGAAGAAATTTAAATGTTTGAAATATGTGACAAAGCATTTGCTCATAAATTTACCCTTAAATCTCATTTAGAAGTACATTTAGGACCAAAAGAAAGAGAAGAATTATGAATGTGGAATATGTTACAAAGCATTTGCTAGCAATAGCATTCTAAAAATCACACATGACAGTGCAACACGAGGAGAAAAGAATTATAAATGCGAAATATGTGACAAAAGCTTTATGCTCGCAATAACCATCTCAAATCACATATGGCAGTGCACACAGGGGAGAAGAATTATGAATGTGAAATGTGTGAAAAGCATTTGCAGATAAATGTACTCTTAAAAAACATATGACAGTACACACAGGGGAGAAGAAATTTAAATGTGAAATATGTGACAAAGCATTTGCTCAGAAAAATAATGTTAAATCTCATATGGTTGTGCACACGGGAGAGAAGAATTATAAATGCCAAATATGTGACAAAGCATTTGCTCATAAATTTACTCTTAAATCTCATTTAGAAGTACATTTAGGACAAAAGAAACAGAAGAATTATAAATGTGGAATATGTGACAAAGTATTTGCTCATAAAGATACTTTAAAAACTCATATAGAAGTACATTTAGATGGGAAGAAATATAAATGTGGAATATGTGACAAAGCATTTGCAGTTAAAAGTACTCTTAAAACTCATATGACAGTACACACAGGAGAGAAAAAATTTAAATGTGAAATATGTGACAAAGCATTTGCTCAGAATTGTACTCTTAAATCTCATATGGTTGTGCAACACGGGAGAGAAAAGTTATAAATGCCAGATATGTGACAAAGCATTTGCAAGAAAAAGTAACCTCAAAAGTCATGTGACAGTGCACATGGGAGAGAAGAATTATAAATGGTGAAATATGTGACGAAGCATTTCGTTGCAATAGACATCTAAAAAGTCATATGGCAGTACACACGGGAGGGAAGAATTATGAAAATGTAAAATATGTGAGAAAGCATTTTGCTTGCAATAGTCATCTGAAAATTCATATGACAGTGCACACAGGAGAGAAGAATATAAATGCGAAATATGTAACAAAACCTTTTCTATTAAAAGCAATCTAAAAAACTCATATGACAGTGCATACGGGACAAAAAAAAATATAAATGCGAAATATGTGAAAAGTATTTGCTCATAAAAGTACTTTAAAAACTCATATAGAAGAAATACATTCAGGAGAGAAGAATTATCAATGTGAAATATGTGACAATGCATTTGCAGGTTAAAGATACCTTAAAAAGCAAATATGACAGTACACACAGGAGAGAAAGAATTATAAATGTGACAATATGTGACAAAGCATTTGCTCGTAAATATACTCTCAGAATTCACATGGTTGTGCATACTGGAGAGAAGAAATTTAAATGTGAAATATTGACACAGCATTTGCTCAAAGAGTACTCTTCAAACTCATATGGTTTGTGCACACGAGAGAGAAGAACTTTAAATGAGAAATATGTGACAAAGCATTTGCTTGTAAAAATGATTTTGAAACTCATAATGCAGTGCACACAGATATGAGGAATTTAAGTTGTCAATTATTTGATAAGGGAATTTCTTGAAAGGATTTTTTTAAAGTCATAAGTCACAGAAGAATTATTAATACAAAATATCTGAGAAAAAGATTCTCAAAGTAATAATCTTTAAAAAACATTGTTAATACACGCGTATCAATCATGCGATAACCATTTCCTAATGGAATATCTCTCGTACGAACACATACAAAAGGGAAGTAACCTCAATGTTATTTTTTTTTTCACATGAGAGAGAAGAAAAATGGACGTGGAATGTCAGTGATAAATCATTTCCTCTAAAAATTATATCTTGTAAAAATACAGTCAGGACAGCAAAAGTATAAATGAGATGTATGTAACAAATCATCATCATCATCATCATCATCATCATCATCATCATCATCATCATCATCATCATCATCATCATCATCATCATCAGCAACAGAGCAGCAACAGCAATGGTGTTAGTAGTGGTATTTATTATTACTTTATTATTATTATTATTCTCATTATTATTATTATTATTATTTAATTATATAAGCCACATAAAAATATTATTTGATCAAAGAAAATGTAAGCTATGTAACACTCTAGAGGATGAATTCCAATACTTATTTGAATGTCCCCTGTACCAAAAAATTAGACAAATGTATATCGAGGATACCTCACATACTAAAATTTAGAGAATTATTTCAATCTGAAAATATGTGGATAGTTTTAACAATGTTTGTTTTCAAAAGTTAAACAAAGTATACAGCGTACTGTATCAATTCTGGCTGTATCATGAAAATGATAGTATATAAAATCTGTTATTATGAATAAGAATTGACTGAGTAATAGATCTGCTACATGTATACAATTCTTATATCATGTCATTGATATGTTTTGCAAGTAACAATTGTATTATTATTGTATACTAACAGGCAGACTGCCTTTATAAGAATAAAATTTACCATGTATTCAAGACATGCATGCATTAATTATTAACTCGCTGACACAATTTTGAAACTTACTATAAGATACAAATATAAAAATACATATTATAACAAGTTTTACAAGTTTATTTATCTTTTCCCAGAAGGTCATAGACCCATGTGGTACAATATGCAAAACACATAATATGGCAAACGTGTAAAACTGACATGATCTCATACATGCATTACAATAGCACATTTTTCATAGGAAATGAAAACATACACAATGTATTTACCTATTAAATGATTTACATGCTTATAGTAATTCACATTTTCGTCGTATGTGTCAAAAGTATATATGCAACATAAGTTTTACGTGTGACAAAAATCAAATTGTACTGACTTTACAATTACAATTACTTTACAATATTAGATTGGATCCATCACTAGTAAAGAAGATAATTTGACAGATTAAAATCTTTCTCAATTGAATATTGAATTAAATCAGGTTGATAACGAAAGTGTGAATTTTACATACATTTTTACATACTGCATATACACCATTGTTGTCATTAATTTATTGTGCACGGGAGATAATTGCTATGGTCTTATCGCTAGACCTGTACATCGAGTTATATAACATCCACCGCACTATAGCTTTAACAATATATTGATATACCATATAATTTCTTAGCATAATTAACTGCAGTTATCTGATAAAATGAAACAAATTTGTATATGAATATATATTGTCCAGACATTTTTTTAAGACTACTTTGTATGAAGAAAAGATTGAAAAACATAAGGGGGATAATCTTGTTCAAAAGCGAAATACAAGATTAGTCACCCGGTAAGTTGCTCTTTAGTCTTAAGATGTATGTTTACTTATGTGTTTCCTCATTCCCAGATCTTGCCATTAATGACAAGATTTGAGGAGGAACAATTAGATAACAGCAGTTTCACTTGTAAAATTTACATATATTTGAGCTATGAAACTATATTATATAGGATGAAACACACATTTATATGACTGACATAGAAGAAATATTACATATTCATATGACTAGCCTATATTGACCAACATGTCAATTCGAACAATAATAAAATAAGAGAAACATACGATGTAGTACTATAAGTCTAGTGTTAACAAAAGTATAGACAGATATGAAAATCATTAACATACTAATCAGCTCCATATAAAGTATCTGAGCGCATCACGAATGCTTTTGAAATATATATACTCAGTTTTCTAATTAACAATTGATTTTCAGTATTCATTAATTCTATAAATTTAAACATATTTGGAGATCTCCAGTAACAAATTGGTATATATTGTGTTCTTAATTGGGAGTACATTCTACATTATAATACAAAATGGAATTCATCTTCTAACACATTGCATTATAAGCTCGAAAGCTCATATAGTGGAATATTGTTTTGCTAAATAATTGTGATTAACTACATCGCATTTGTAAATTGTGTAATTTATAGTTATTCAATTAGAGTATCATTTTCTGTAGTAAATAGACTAGTTATTTCATAACTTTATATTTTGTACTGTTCCTAGATATTCCACAATTGGTATGTTTTATGAATTGCAAAATTTGCTAATAAACGAATTAAAACAACAAGAAACCGTTTCTTCATCATATATTTTTATTTGATTTTATCATTACAGTAAATATGGGACAAACATTATGTCGCAATAATCTAGGTCATATCACAAGATAATAAAAATGCCATTATACATGCATGTATATCGATCACAAGAAGTGATTCGGATGTGGCATCAATCTATAAGTTTCCAAAAATTTGGGATATGAATGCAAATATTTCCACTTTCAGATATGTTTTGAAAACTGCAGCATGCCGATGCATTATATCTCGGACTTTTAAATTGACAATTAAAGACCGTAATGATATCTATTTTGAAATATGTCAAATATGAATACCATATATAATCTCATCATTATAAGACATGTTCACGATCAATATTTCTATTCCTAGAGTCCTAGTAAAGTTTCAAAAAGTAACTAACTAGCCAAGTGCTAGAGCTATCTTTGACTTCTGTTGCTTTTTGGCAATTGGTAAAGTAGCATTCATTTATTATTTTGTATGGAAATCAAGGTAATATTTTATCTATATTTTATTACCTTTACGACTAACATTTAGTTTTATATTCGGCGCTGAAAAGCATGTGGCAAAACAAACATGCTATTCAGTTACTATCATGAAAGTGATCCGGTGTTTATTAGATGGTTTCCTATATCAGCTATGGATCTCTTCAGCACATATGAAACTCGACTGGAATTTTGTCCAGCAATTCCTTTATGTTGAGCCTATTCTCAATACATGTTTCAATACGGGTTTGTTGTTGTTTGAATATTATACAACGTTTGGTGTTAAGATTTTGAGGAAACTCTGTATTTGGAGTCCGTTTGGCGACACATTCTCTATACGTATTGCATATTTTGGGCACACCATAACCCACAACGGAAAGAATATCTCGATAAAGGTTGCATAAAAATCAGAACAAAATGGTTAAATAAATATGAAGGAAAGCCAGGACGGTAATCATGTACATGTATTTAGTTGTATCTAATTTTTATTTCAATATACAATGCATTATGATTGAATTATAATAATCTATACAAAATTAATATTACAAACTGTTAGATAAAGATCAAAACGTCAACTTTCAAATATTAGAATCTGTTAAATAAAAATCAGAGGGTAAACACTCGTAAATCCTAATATCTTAATAAACATTAATTATTCAAAATGTCAATAATGGTTGTTATTTTATTGTCAAACAAAGGTCTATTCAAATTAGTAACAACATGTATGGGGTTATGTCCATTCTATAAAATTCATGTGTGGGGTTTTGTCCACTCTATGAAATTTTGAGGTGTGCGGTTTTGACGTGTGGGGTTTTGTCCGTCTTCCGATACTGCTATGTGTTATTTCTTCCCGTCACACATTTTAGGGCGCATGGCAGATTTTACTTATGTACGGCAGACTAACAATTGACGAAATAATCTTGTTGGTAAATTGTTCATATAATTCTATAAACAACTTTCTTCCCCAAACCAATCCCCGCCCACACACAAACGCGCGCGCAAATGAGACTTGAGAAAATAACAATACAAGAACTACCATTGTTCAAGTTTTATAGAAAAATCAAGTACATTAAGAACGATTAACTACCAAATCCATCTTGTAAAAACAGTATAACTTGGTGCCTATATCCTTTTTAGGGTAATAATCAGTTAAAACTCATATGATTAATAAAATTCTTCCGAATTTAAATTTACATGTAGATCTATACTTTTTTTCCCTAAAAATCGATAGATTCATTCATGGACCCTTTACTTACCGTGTATATCCAGTAACGCAGGAATGTGCAAATAACGCAGGAATTGTGCAACAGTAACGCAGAATTGTGTTATTTAGTGGCTGAAACGAAAACCGCGATAAGTAAATGGACAATTATTTTTAATTGTACAGCAAATTGGAAGAAATCTATAAGCGCATACGTTTGATGAGACATTATTCTTTAAACCTCATCCAAAATATTTACATGAAAATGTTTACTTTTCAAGATCTTTCGTGAAAATGACGACCTGACAAAACGTATTGATGGCGATTTTTTAGTTTTGTTGATATTTTGAATAACATTAACATACATATTACTTTATGATTTTTTTATATTCGATGTACTTGAGGCATTTTCTACTCGTGTCATTTTACACTTTATTTAGGCAGATAAATGTAATTTGAGACCATTTTAACGAGGTTACGCCGAATTGGTGAATGAAGCACTGAAGCAATGGCGGTTATCTCATGAAAAGTAGCAAAATCCATTTTACCAACTTCCTTCTATTCTTATATGACACTTGCAGTTTGACAAATTTCTTAGGTAAACAGAATATGAAAAAATATATTTTTAAATGTGTTAAATGAACATATTTATTTGACGAAACACAAAA